TATGTATTATGGTCGTATCATTATGTAGTAGAAGTAGTAAATTTTTATATTTTCATTCAGGTGAAACCAACCAGTGTGAACACACCTCATAACGTGTGAGATGTATAGTGAGTAGTGACTATTCATACCCCACTATATCAGCGGGGCAAAAAGGGTAGAAGCGAAGTAAAGTTAATCCTGATACCAGTTCAATAACTCATACTTTAATGATGTTTGTAAGGGGTCAATTCAATAGTGTCTGCCTTGGGAGAAGTTTCTCTGGTTTTTATCAGAGATAATTGGTGACATGTTCTTAGCTGGCTGTAGTCCACCAACTGGAGAAATGAGAGAATAATCAGAATATCGAGGAAAAGAGAGAATTTTGTTTTGTAAGTATCAGATCTGGATACATGAGTTTATTATGAATTTTTAGTTTCTCTCTCTTTCTCTCTCTCTCTCTCTCTCTCTCTCTCTCTCTCTCTCTCTCTCTCTCTCTATTACTCCCTTTCATTTCTGTTTTCCCTCTTTGACTGTTTAATGTTTAATGTTTGACTATTTTGTAGACTGAGTTTGATGTCGTTAGAATGTATTCCTTGTACAGTTTACGGTGGCGGATTCAGGGGGACACAGGGGGCACGTGCCCCCCGGTAAGAAAAGGGGGGGGGGAGGGGGGAAGAAAAAGGGAGAAAAGAAGAAAAGGGGAGAGGAGAAAAAGGAGGGGGAAAGTTAGAAAGGGGAAGAGAGGGAGAGTGAGAGAGAGGAGAAAAAAGGCGGAAAAGGAAGAAAGGGGGAAAGACGAGGGAGAGAAAAAGGGGGAAAAGGAGAATAATGAGAAGGGAAAAGAAAGAAAGGGGGACGATACTATAAAAAGGTGTTTCTTTTTTACCGGGAAAGGTGCGGGGGGGGGGGGCACGCAATTTTGCAGTGTGCATAATATGGAGTCCCTCTTGGCAGGCGTGTAGCCCCCCCCCCCCCCACCCCCACAAAATAAGCATAAGAAGAACAAAAAAAGAGATGGGGTATGAGGGGGGTATGAGAGAATTTGTGTGAGTTAAAGGAGAAAGGAAAAAAATGAAGGAGAATTAAACAACGATAGAAGAGAGGTGCGAGAGCATGAGGAATCACATGTCTTCTAAAGGAATAATTTAAAGGGGGTGTGGGGGGGGGGGTGAGACACCCCCACCTGTCAGGATATGGCGGTAAAGTTGCCTTGCTGTCGGGAAAAATGAGAAAAGGGAAGGGAAAGGGAAAAGAAAACAAAAAAGAAAAGGAAAGAAAGGAAAAAAAGAAAAGAAAGGAAAGAAAGAAAAGAAAGAAAAGGAGGAAAGAAAAAAAGAAAAGAAAAAAGGAAACAAAAGAAACGGGGATGAAACAGCGGAGAGAGAGAGGGGGAGAGCGTGAGAGAAGAGGGATGGGAGTAATTAGAGAGAGAGAGGGGGTTGTTGGGTCGAGTCACTACGTTGAGGGGGCAAGAAAGATACGCATAGATAATTATGAATTATGTTGCGTTGTTGGTCCGCTATGTCGATATTCTTGCTCGATTCTCGTGTACTATATCACTGCAGTCGTATTATGACGATCGGCCAATAAATTTTTCCCCCAAACGAACTGTGACTTTTTATCGGACAGAGAAACATTTTTGAAAGTTCAGACAATGATTAGAGTCGGTAAAACGAATTGTCTTCTTTCTCTAATAATTTAATGAAACGTCAAAGCTTCCGCGCTACGCGTGTGTGGGGGGGGGGGGGGGGGTACTGAATTCAGACATGGATCGAAAACAGTACAACGAATCGTCTTCTTTTTTTAATAATAATGAATGAAACGTCAAAAACTTTCGCGGTTCGCGCAGGAGGGGGGAAACTGAATTTAAACAAGGATTAAGAGTAATGAAACGTCAAAGCTTCAGACAAGGATTAAAAGTAGAGAACGGTACAATAGTCTTCTTTCTCTTATAATTAAATGAAACGTCAAAGCTTCCGCGCTTCGTGGGGGGGGGGGGACTGACGCCCCTATACGTATTTACGCCACGAGTCCATTAAAGCTAAAGACCAGTTTTGGAAACGCCCCAATTTCAAAAAATGAAATGGAAGCTCTTATTACCAATCATGTGAAAGAATATGTTGACTAATATACATGATGATACAAATTTTGCCGGGGAACCGCCTACTAATTGATATATTTGGTAAATTAGTTTATCTGTGCGTATAGTCCAATATATAGGCCTACATTTTTCTGTGTACAGTGCTTGTAACTTTACGAAGACTGGGCCAAATTTCTTATCATTTTGATGATTCCAGAACCTTGCAGTACACACCAATACTTATATGCTAGATGACCAACCTTTTCTGATCGATTCCACAACGTTTCTTTCACAATGCAATCGCATGACCATAACTGGTCTTTACCTTTAAGGGGGGGGGGGGGTGCCCAAGGATTTTCCAAAAAATGCGCCATTTTACTTTTTTCTTCTTCTTTTTTTCTTCTTTTGTTCTCTTTTTTTTGTTGGTTTTTTTGGTATGATATTGCCAAAGTGATTGATAATGATGGAAAATTTACCATCAATCATCGGTGGTAAGTTTTGTGCCAGCAGGGCCCTGGTCGAGTTGTCTAGGGTAGTTGGTCGGGTTATCTAGGGTCGGGCTGTACGTTGGTCGGACTGTCTAGCGCTCTCTAGCTAGTTTTGATTGCATGCGATATGCATCGTTGGGCAAAATTTAAACAACGATTAAGAGTAATAATTAAATGAAACGTCAAAGCTTCCGCGCTTCGCGCGGGAGGGAGAAACTGAATTCAGACAAGGATTAAAAGTAAAGAACGGTAAAATTGTCTTCTTTCTCTTATAATTTAAAGATACGTCAAAGCTTCCGCGCTTCGCGGGGATCGAGGGGGGGGGGGGGAGGGCCTGACGCCCCTATATGTATTTACGCCACGAGTCCATCATTATTATTGATGCAAACATATTCAAAATCCTTTTTGAGTTTATCCTTTTCGGTCTTCTATGACACCCTTTTTTCATATTTTCTTTTTCCGTATATTATGTTTGTCTTTATTTTGTCTATCTTCCTTTTAATATTTTTTGTTTTAAACCGTCTTTAACATTCTTCTGTTATCTTTCTTATATTGTTCTTTGCTTTAACTTTTTTTCTTCATCGTTTCTTTTCTTATCAATATTTTTTTGTTTTTTATCCTATAATCTTTTCTCATGCTCTTCTTATATTTATCATTTTATACCATTTACTCTTTCTTGGCCTATTTTCTCTTTATTTTCTCTCTTCTATAATAGGGCTGATCTTAATTTCTTCTAGTAATACCTTTGTATTTACCATTCTCTTCCTTTATCTTCTCTTCCTATCTATCTATTTCATTTGATTTTATCCTTCACTGATATTTCATTTTTATATTCCTTATGCTATATATAGCCTATACTTTTTCATATTCTGCTCTATCATTTCCTTTCCATTCCTTTGTTGTTGTTTGTATCTTTATCTTCTTGCTCTTTCCTTTAGCCTTTATTTTCTTTGTTTTCAACCTTCTTTCATAATTTTCTTGCTATATTGCTTAATGTTATTTTTTAATTTTATATACCATCTTTTACATTTTCCATAAAATATTATCTTTTGTTTGGGCCTGCCATCCTTTTTTTCTTTCTATCTCTTCCAATGAGTCTCTTTTCATATCATTTCATGTACTCATTCCTTTGATTTGGCTATTTTCTTATCTCTCTCTCTATCTCTCTCTCTCTCTCTCTCTCTCTTTCCTTCTTTGTTTTTAATCCTTCTTCCATCTTTTCTTTCACTGCTTGAGGACCATTTTTTAAACAAAGTAATTTATTCTTAATTCTTTATGGAAATTAGCCATAATGTTTGAGGCCATCATGATCGTTCCTCATCTATTACCGTAGGACTATACATTGTGGAAATTATCCCCAACTCAATTAATTTATCTCAATCTGAAATTACAACTTTAACCTCATGTTTTATGACGATGTTTAAAAAAAAACACGTACTAGGCCTAATTGTCGGTTTTTCCCTTAAATGATAGATCATGATTGTGTTGAAGGCAGTTAATGCAAAATATCCTCATGATCTCAATAACGATATCACAATTGTATTGGAAAACTAATTAAATAAATCAACGTAAAAGAAAATAATCCGATTTAATTTTAAAAATTTGACTTTTGTATGTTGCTATTCAATCACAAACATTTTCCCGACCCTGAAATGATTAATTCCTCATATCATTCATTAGGCAAACAAGCCATTTGATTATGAATGAGGCCATCACGTCTATGGTTCTTATCCACTTCTGTAGGCCTATACAGGTCAATACGCAACTTATACCTGATTTGATTATCTCAGTAAAAAATCCAGACAATAATTATTTTGAACCTCACGTTGATATATATACATGTAATTTAGGGCTACGTAACTGGCTTCTGTATTTCAATAATAACTAGAAAAAGACTGGCTAAGCGAACAGTTTTAATCACACGTGTCCTTCGATTTTTAAAAGAATTCCAAAATAATTGATATGGTCGTGTTGGTGACACCAGTAAACTCTCCACCTATATACTCTGGACAACTCGACCAGAGCCCCGTTGCATAAAACCAGGGGCGGATCTAGCTTTTTGCCAAGGGAGGGGGGGGGGGGGAAGGAGTTGACCCAGGATTTTCCAAAAATCGCGCCGTTTTTACTTTTTTCTTCTTCTTTTATTTTTCTTTTTGTTTTCACTTGGGGGGGGGGGGGGGGGGGTTAAACCGCCGAACCCCCCCCCCCCCTAGATTCGCCCCTGAAAACTTACCATCGGTGTTAACTTTGCCATTAATTATGGTAACCTTGATTTTTTTTTTTGTTGTATGACATTGCCATAGTGATTGATATTGATGGAAAAGTTACCATCAATCATCACGGTGGTCATTTTTGTGCCAGCAGGGCCCTGGTCGAGTTGTCTTGGGTAGTTGGTCGGGTTATCTAGGGTCGGGCTGTCCGTTGGTCCGACTGTCTAGCGCTCTCTAGCTAGTTTTGATTGCATGCATCGTTGGGCAAATATGGCGATTATACGCAGGGCCTACGGTACGGTAACATAGCACAGCTACAGTCAATCCCGTGGATCTGTTTCTTCTATTCTGAGAAAATTGATCGAGGACAAGTTCTAGTACTACTGGGTTAAATCCATACACGGCATCTCCTTGGCAAATTAACCACAGAAGTCAAGTCAGATCAGACAAATACTGGTATGTGTAAGGTCCATAAATGAATGTGAATGAATGTGAATGTGATGACGGTTTCGTGAAACGATGTTGTTGATGCTTATATTTCCTCTTTCAAAAACGCGTGTAGTCTAGATCTACAGTACATCTGTCCACACATAGCTGCATTACTATCCTGGCTGTGCTATTGATTCTCAACATTTCAAACACTACTGTACAAAACTCAACTGATTTCACTCAAAATCGGTAGGCCTAGTCTAGGCCTAGACCTACTTTATCATGTTTATTGACAATTGATGACACCTATTAGCAGTAAAATACAATTTTTTTCAACTTACCGATGTTAGAGAGAATAATATAAACAAATTCAAATTGTAAGTCTACTGTCATAGTCATACTGGACCAAGTTTCTGTCTCTTTCGCTCGTTAGCGTCTGATTTGGGCAGGGTCGGACTCGGAGAGGAGCCGACCCTGCCCAAATCAGACTCGGAGGCTAACGAACGAAAGGGACAGGAACTTCGGTCTACTGTCATACTTGCCGATCAGCTACATCGGCATGATTGTGTGCATTTGTGTATAATAAGTGTGTTAACTATTTATGTGTGCAAATGCTGCCTTTTAACACAACGTAGTGCGGTGCTAGAGGTCAATAAACGTAGGCTATATTAAGTGTAGACCGAATTTTCCATCTCTTTCGTTTGTTAGCCTCTTATTGGGGTAGGGTCGGCTCTCTCTTTAGAGACCGAAACAGACTATCCCGCGAAATGTGTAGGGTTATGTGGGCAAATCAGCACACCAAACTTGCAAAACTTATCCCCGAATTACTCCTTTCACAGGATGCATATCCGATGCATTTTATATTGTAAATTAGGTTAAAACTTGACTACTTCGGTTCCACTTACCAACTTGACTGAAATAATCTGTTTAATGGTCCATTTTTAGGAAATTATGGGTCAAAATCGATATCCATGATGAAAATCTTGCAAGCCGTGTAAAACTCTCGCTGCCGGAGTCATCTAAATCAATCTCATCCCTTCTAGTCTACGCCGAAGGCAAAATGATTATGAAGGAAAAACTGTGATAACGCCATTACGAACGTGTAGATGGCGCACAGTTTTTCCTTCATAATCATTTTGCCTTCGTTTTTTTTTTGGGGGGGGGGGTTACTTTTATTGCTTCCCTATAGTCTTTAGAGTTAGCATGTCATCCAAAGTTAGCCTTTTTTTTAATGCCAATGTCATTATTATATCATCTTAACAGGGTTCATCAGATTTCTTATGTCATCCAGATTGAAAGACTTACTTCTTGAGAAATGGCTGTCAAACCCTTAGAGAATCTCAAGAGCTTCACAACCACTAGGCCACCCTTGGTTGTCTTCACCATCTGCATACTCCTCTTTGCCATAACTCTCCTCTCCCTGGAATCTTACTTCAAGAGAAATGAAGTGCCCAATTATGACATTGACTATGTGAGTATGATGAAACCTTTCAAACACCCAAAATCCTGCACTATTTTTAGTTATTTTAAAATGGATTAAAGGTATTACAAAGTTTTGGTATTGGGTCATGAATTTGGTTCAAATTAACATATTGGAAGCATGTGTTCCTACAATATTCATTGATCGTTGATCCGGTTAAAATCAAGTCTAAAGTTAAGAAATTATAAATAATAAACTCTTTATGTTGTATAGCTCCCTCTCAAGGTCAAGATATCAACCGAGCTATGAAACAATGTTTCTTGTCTAAAATCGACCGATTAGCTCTTCCCGTTTGGAAATTATATATCACAACTACATACATGTATACTGAGATTTTCATGGTCGCAGCTACATTGTACCATTGTACGGCCGTAGGTGCTATTTGAAATTTATCAAAATTTACTGGGAGCACAGGTAAATTTTTATTTTCAATTTTTCTCGAAAAACAGAAGTGTTTTAGGGGTTAATTTTGTGGGTGCTTATAATACATCCACAGGGGCATCCAAATTTATCAAAATTGTAAAGATTCTTTATCCAACCAATTTTCAAAATTTCCCAAAACTTTGTATTACCTTTAAACTAAGCCCTTAAAGGAAACCTCACCCCAAGAAATAACTTTAGCTATTTTAAGAGATTCATTGTGTTCTTGCCCATTAATCTACAAGATTCCCCATCAAAGTGTATGAGAGAGGCATAAAGCAAGAATAATATACAGTTTCTCAGCACGACATGGGTATCGCCATTCTTTTGAGCATCCACTGTACCTGTAAGCTAGCTTTCATAAGCCCTACGGCATTCGCATGGCGCGATCAGAAACTCCTGACCCAATCTTGAGTTGATTTCCGCGTTACCCGGTGTGAATCTGTCTATATTCTTTCGAGCAATACTGTACATTAATTGTGAGATCATTGGTTAATGATTGTGAGCTGGAGTCCCAAGTATTGTTTACCTACATGTACATGTAGTTACGCTGAAACGTAGTTTGCTGTGGGATTTTGGCAATTTTTTCTTTATTCAAAGTTTGTTAGGTCTTGCCAAGTTTTTTAAATTACTTACTGTCACGTTTTGTTGTGTTCACCCCGTTTTACTACGGCCTACTAGGTTGGAGCTGGAGTCCCAAGTATTGTTTACCTACATGTACATGTACCGGTAGTTGCGCCGAAACGTAGTGTGCCGTGGGAGTTTGGCAACTTTTTCTTTATTCAAGTTTGGTTAGGTCTTGCCAAGTTTTTTTTATTACTTACTGTTGTGTTCACCCCGTTTTACTACGGCCTATTAGCTTTCTCATCCATACCAGGACCGCCATGGCAAATATTTTGACAGTTTAAAAATCTCGCCCGGCATCCAGGGCAATCACGTTTTCCCATTCCGTCCCCCCGCATTGTCTCACGTCCATCCCGTTTTGTCAACGGTGGCCTGAAACTTGATTGCCGTGGCCGCCGTGAACATAATGTAAACCTAGCCTTAAACAGCAGGCCCTATCAAAAATCAATTATTGTAAATGTTTATTTTTATATGAGAAACAAAACAATGTCAGACATTAACATGAGGATGCTGTTTAGAAAATATAAGTACTGATCATAATGGAATTCATCTGTTATTGCTTCAGGACTGGAACACATTACTGCAGGGGTTCAGTGAGCTAGAGTTTTGCCTTCTGCCCAACGAGACACAGCCAGAGGCCGTCACCACGACAACCGCCAGCTCTCCTTTCAATTCAACCTCAACTCCTACTGCTACCACTTCAGCAGACCTCTATGAAGAACTCGAGGGTTTCTCTCTGCAGAACACCTCTTTGTCAATAAGTGTGTCATTTAGGGCCCACACTAGCAGCCATAGCAAACTCCATTTTGGCTCAACACATCTGTACAGCAAATTTCCTACAGAAGAGCTTGGAATTACAGGTATTATTTTGTTATGAAGCTAACCAATTCTCTCTTTGACTTTTGAAAATTGAAATTCATTTTTTTTCTGTAATAAAATCTATTATATTCTGCATCAAAAATTTGTCGGCTTCTGATTGGTTGAGAGCTCGTCACATGACCAAAAATATTTGAGCTATTTTTAGAAAGTACTATATGAGAGTACTATTTTGGTTTACTATTTGGGAGTTGGAAAAAAAAAAAAAAAAAAAAAAAAAAAAAATTTAATTAAATCAATTTTTTTTTTCAAATCTTGATTTAATGAAAACAAAATATTTTAAATCTTTTTAGATAAAAATTGACATTTTTTTTGTTCTAAATTTTTTTTTCCCAAAAATGTTTTTTTTTTTTTTTTTTTTTTTTTTTTTTTAATTAATTTTTGATGCAGGATATAAAACAAATATACCATGCCTTCTATTCGAGGTACTGGTTAAACTATGGGCCTCGGTGACTCCAAAAGTACCATTTGCTTCGGGGCTGCGCCCCTCAGCAAATAGTACTATTGGAGTCACCTCTTGCGCATAGTTTTAACCAGAACCTCTCAAGGCAGTGTATATTTGTATAATATATAGCACTGTAAACTATTGATGCTTGTACATTTAATCATATTACTGGTATTTATTGCTTGGTTCTTATAAGAGATACAATGCTACAGTCCATGTTCATAGCATCAAAGCTAAAATCTCCTTCAAATGAGAATTTTTTTTTGCAAATGGGAAAATGTTGTTTTAAGGGATGCTCTAAGCGCCAAATAGACCAGCCTTGAAGCTAGAACATAGACCAAAACCATTGAAAATCTGGTCTGTACAACATGACATGAAGATGTTCTTTTGCTTTCAATAGAGCATTACAATGGTTGACTGACTGGAATAGTATGTGCATAGTGTTTTAATAGTCTTTTAGATAAACTTATAATATCAACATGCAGATGCCCAAGTGGGAACACTGCACTGCACTGCACTGCTAAAGCCAGGGTAACTATGCTGCATTATTGTAAAGCGCTTAGAGACTTCTGACAAAGTAAGTGTTAGTCGCTATATAAGCACTGTAATTATTATTATTATTATTATCCCATTTTCTGTACCAAGGGTTGAGAACCGAGTGACTCTCAAGTGACACAAAGGTCCCAGACAGATAGTGATTGAAAATGTAATACAGTTAAACCTGCTTTAGTGACCACCTGTCTACAAAGACCACATTTTTGTTTCCCTTGAAAATGGTTTCTCATTGAAACATGTACTAAAGCAACCTGTCTACAAAGACCACTTTTTGTGTTTCCCTTGGGTGGTCGCTATAGACAGGTTTGACTGTATGTTACATTCTTTACCTTTTCTGATAATTCAGGTGGTAGTGAGCAAGTTTATGTCACGCTGGAGCTGAACGAGCCCCTCAAGCCTCTGGCATGCAAGGATAGCGGGTGCACCAGTGAGAGTTTGAGTGCTTGTCTTACTATCCGTGGACCTCAGTACGTGTTCCCTAAAACAAGGCAAGTAGAATAATCTTCTTTTATTCTTGAACCAAACTGTTTTATAAATATGTACTCTTTGTTTAGTTATATATTCTGGTACCTTAATATGTTTTACATAGAAGAAGACAATTGGAAAGTTTCTTTCTTAACCTTCTGTAACTGAACTTCTTTTGTTTATTAGGGTCTTATGAAATTCAAAAGAAACAGTAAAACAGGTCTTTCATTGGCAAGATGAGAAAAGCCTCTTCATTAACCACTTGGCTGCGTGCCACGTACACGTATGTGGTCTCGCTCTCACTTGCCTGTGCGCACCACGTACATGTACGTGTTTACAGCATTGCACGTCAAGACCGTAGCACTGCATAAGGCCTAGCCCTACTGTGTAATTAGCACTGCAATGTTGTAATACAGGATTTGAACAATAGCTTTTCGGGCTCACTAAAAAATTAGAAATAAAGGTAAAAAACAAGTATGTAAGCAATATATACATGAATATCATATTTCCCCAAAAGTGCTGTAGCACAGGGGGTATGAACACGTATTAGGCCATTAGCAGCCAAGTGGTTAATACCGGAAAACACTGACGAAGGTGCTGACTTTCAGTTACAGGTAGAAGTTTGAAGTTTTTTTTAAATCCAGATCAATCCGACGGAGGCCTGCTGGTATGAGAACACCAGAGGTTAAAGTTCTACACGACTCAACTCTTCTTCCATAAAAAACTTTTAAATTTGTTTATTATTTCTCTTTAGCACTTTAAGGGGTTTTGAAAATCAGTTTACAAATGAGAAATGAGAAGATTTCTACCAGTATACAAGTGATGCGCAGGTTTTTTTCCTGTGTCGGTAAGTACTGTGTGCACAAGGTAACAAGATAACTTGTTATGGCAACGTTTTAATTATTGTTTGAGGTATGAACTTCAAACTTACGGTATGCATCAGCGTAGGGAGACGGACTGAATTGATTTTAGGGTAGGAAGGTCAAAGGTCAATAAATCCAAGAAATTCTGGATTTTTATCCCCATTTTCACGTGTTTGGAGAGTAGGCCTACCATTTGAGAAAATTAAACTAAACCTTGGTACTTGTATGAAAATTTGTTGTATTATTTAATTAGATTTTAGTGTTAGTCCTGGGTTAGTGCATTGGGTCAGAGGTCAGAGGTCATGCAACTGTTATTGTCATTAATGTCATTATATAAAGGGCTCCGAGTAGTGAAGTCCAGACTTCGGACCATAATGAATCACTGTGTAGAGAGATGGCTGAATCTCAAAACGGCTGTTTTCAAAATGGCTTAATGTTTAGTTAACATCATTGACAGATCCCTCTCTAGAAGAGGTAGAAGATACATGCATCATAAACTGTGGTGATCAATTCTGTATTTCTTACATGTTTCAGGCGACCAGGAACTTGTAATGGAACAGAGACATCAAAGCCAGAGAAAGTTGCCAAGATGCAAGTGAAGCCAAGCAAAGAAATTGACCCAGTGCAGTGGTGCAATGACGGGACTGTTGCTAAAGCTGCTCATCAGTTTGACCCAAAGCTAACAGTCATGCTAAGCTCGGTAGGTACAGGAGAGTCCGGGAATTAAGAGGTTGCGTTCTTTTAGGAAATTCGACTGCACCAAAGTGCACAGAAGATATAGGTTCAGTCAGTGTGCAGGGACTGTTTCGAGAGCTTACAGTTTGATGTTCACCATGTTTTAGTCTTTCTTTTGGTCAGTATGTTCTAGAGAGAGTCAAGGGCTGGTTAGAGATGCATCCACATGGACCATATACATGTATTACAAAACAGGTTGTAGAATGTGGCCAGTCCAAACGACACAACATGACCCTGCATCCTTCTTTCCTACTGTGCAAACAAAATTCCCATAAAAAACTAATCATTCATATTGCATTTTTTCCAGGGGTTATGAATAACTTTTAGTGCAGGAACTGTTCAGTAAGATATAGATGATAGCTACTTTTAATGAATGGTAGTATTTTCAATTTTAGGTAGATTTTAAAGAAAAGTTTCTCTTGATTGCAATGAAAGATTAAAAGCCTTAATGAGAAACTGTTAATCAGGATCGTTTGTGATGCTTGGATAGAATGTGAAAGTTGTAGAATCTTTTTTGGCTTGCTTAATGTGACAAACTCACGGTTGAGAGAGAGAGACATATCATTCACAACAAATTCGGGAGATGGAGCATTCTGCTTCCTTTGAGCTACATATGACCAAAATCTACGTCTGTTACCATTAGAGGAAAACATGTTATTGACATAATCCCAATACATCTTTCTGGTTTGCTTCTCGACATCATTACAGACAACTTTATACTTACACCAGCCCAGGTCCAATTTTGATCTTTTAGCCTTTTTGAACAGCCTGTGTTTTTTGTTGATGAGTTTTTTAGGTTCTGGAGTGTTCCATGGTGAGTTGTTAGTCTTTCGTTTTGTCTTTGAGGAATTGAGTCCCGTATGGCAGTGTCTAGCAAGTCCATAACGATTTCAGCTGATTCGTTGGTATCATTGGGGTTCATAAATGCACTCCAAGTGATGTAATGCATTATGCTGCGTAGATGTTCGAAGTCTCCATGGAAGGTGTCCAAGAATTTTGGAACAACAGACCGTCTAGGTGCTGTCCTATGAGAGCGAAGGCATGTCCCTAAGGCAAGTTGATCAGAATCAACAGGTGATGGAATTGTGTTTACATTATGAATCCAGTCCGGCCGGTTTGTGGAAAGGTCAATTATCAAGCCTCCCTGTGCATTGTTGTCCGAAGGTCGGGTTACTTCAGACACCATCTGATAGAGACCGAAGTCATTCGTAACATCAAGAAGCATTTTTTCTTGTTGTGACGTTTGAACCACGAGGGTTCATGTCAACTTTAAAATCCCCAAGTACCATGCGTGCCTCATAAAGTTCCATGTCTATGAAAGTCAGGTTCTGGTGGAGATGTTCCCAGAATGATGCGTTGCTGGAAGCTTGCCGATACAGGAGACTGATTATCCACGATTATCCATTTGCCTTGACAGAAAACCATATAAGTTCCAAGTTGTCTGGAGCGAGAGTGGCAAGGATAACTGGTGAGAGTTATACATGGATAGCTACTAGGATACCACCTTGGTTGGTTGGTTGGTTTTGACCTCTGTCTCGTCGTAAAATAATATAGTCATCTGGGATACCAAGTACAGAGTCATTGATATGGTTGTTCAACCATGTAATGAATACTAGATAACTGCTATACACCATCCTCTGCTAGGACCCTTCCACCCTGATGACTCCCTGTACAAAAATGTCAGCGCTTTGCTGGGAGATAGCATGTGTAAACTGTAGTGTACATCATGGGCATAGACACAGTCCTCGTATTACAAGTGTGTAGTTAAGGTTCCCATTGTAAGAATTTACATCTTAGGATGGGTATCTCAATCATTTTTATATCTTATTCGTTTAATATTTCACTTGGGGAGGATGAAAACTTCACAACAGGTTATTACTAGTATCTTCCCATTTATGATCTAAAGTCAAAGAAATTGGATGAAAAGTTTTTGAGGGTGCACCAAACCTGTTCATTTAAGAGAAATCTAAAAAATCATTTGCTTTCTTTGTAATTGTTATTTTTAGAGTGTAATGCACTTGGAGAGCATATAATTATTCTATTTTTATTTACTTATGTAAAGCACTTTGAGCATGTTTATGTAAAGGCGCTATATAAATATCAATATGTACGTATGACCTTTAAAATTGTCAATTTTTCTTTTCTTTTTGTTTTTGCTTTACAGGCTCAGCGCTCCATCATCAACATGCACCTGATGTATACAAGTTACTTCCTTTTTGTGATGCTTATTACTTGTGTCTGTTACGCATTGGTGAAGGGACCCCCAGTTAAGTCCAGGACAATTGCCCATTCAACAACGAAAGAGAAAAAGGTAGGTGAAGTTTTTCGACCAATTAAAGAATGATGATACACCAATGGAATGGAAGCATGGATTAGTTGTGAAGAGTGAAAGTTACCCAGATTACATTGCCCCAGCTCCTTGGGGGGAGGGGGGGAGGGGGGGGGGGAGGGCATAAATCCATGTATCCTAGTTTTGACATTTCATGAAGGTTCAAGGATCTGCATTTCTCTTTAAACCATTTTGATATCACACATATCTTTTCAAAACACCTCAATGTTCTGATATAGTTTTTTGCGACAATTTAATGAATTTTTACATTGATTTTAGGCGATTACAGTATGGAGTGTAAGAAGAAATGAATTTATCTCTCCCCATCTCTTTTTCTTCTCTACAGATGTCTGCACCAATTTGACGATTCATCTCTACTACAAAGATATTGTGTATATATTCCTTTAGAGCTATTGTAAATATTCTTTCAAGAGTTATTTGTTAGTAGTGTATGTTACAATGATTTTGAAATTGAAGACACATATATTCACTATATTTTGCTTCAATATGCATTTGTATTTCGATTTGAAGTGAATAATTATGTTATTTCTATTTCCTGGTGCATAAAGAAGCTATTGCCCTTTTCTTTTTTTTCCTCATGTGGTTGCAGGGGGTTATAAATATAGTAGAAATGGTCCTTTCATGGCCTTTTTTAAAAGACTATTTTTTAAATATTTAAGATCATAAGATTCACATAGAAATAAATGAAATTGTAAAAAAATATTTCAGTGTAAGTACCATGTTCTTATTTACCAATACATGTTGTAAATCACTACTACTGTGAATTACTCTACCAATATCAGACTATCCATGTTCATGTACAAAATTACATACATTTTGAGTGGCAGAATCTGGTCCCTCATGGAAGCCGTTGTCATCCAATTGATGTTTGGTAAATGGGTGTTGTTGCGGCCATTATTTTGAGCTTGGATTATTGTAGAATGTACTGGGGCCCGGGAATGCATTATTCTCAGAAATTTGTTGGAACATCCAGGCCTGGGACATCTACTTTGAGGAGTGGAGAGGAAATCCAATGTTGAAGGAAGTTGACTACCGCTGAAGGTCAGTTAGAATGCAGGCCCATAAAAACTATAGTGTACCACAAATGTCGGTCTTGTTAAACTTTGGTCTAGTGGACATTCCTGCTAGTTTTGAGGTGGCCTAGTTGAACAAACCTTTGGTCTGGCAATTTTATTATCATTGGCTGCGGCGGCGGGTGGGGGGGGGGGCATTTTTTTTTAACTTTGAGGTGTTGTGCACCTTTTAGTTATTTTGTTTGAATTTGTGTAAAGTGCTGTAAAAATTTGTTAAGACTCTCCTGGCCTTTTGCTTCATCCTCTGTCTAACCTTACTAAAATTTAAGTGAAAATATAAAATGAACATAAAAAAGAATCATCTCTCTGTTCCATGAATGAAAATTGTAATATGCACCCCCCCCCCCAAAAAAAAAATCAGAATTGACATTTATTAAAGTTCACATGCCCGATATGATTTTTTTGTATTGAGGGGGAGGGGTGCGACTTGCTACTCTCCACTCAAAAGTTATCTTAAAATGCCACTTCGAAAAGGTTAAAGCCTTTGATTTTATTATATTTTATGGAGATGTCATCTCATGTATGTTGCAATAAGATGTTATTTAAAAAATGTGCCTGATAATTCATGTACATGTACTACTCTGTGTATACACGTGGGTTTAGAAAGCGTAGACTTGTAAGCTCTAGTAGACTTTTTTATAAAGCCTATCTGCACTAGTTTGGCCAGGATGGATTAGACCTCCCTGCATGGTCACCGGCGGGTGGTTATCTCATAAAAGGTATACATACATTGTTTACTATATAGAGGGCGCATGTAGCTATAAGTAGTGCAGTGGGGCTTTAAAAGGTATACCCTCTAAATACTCAATCATTACTAGTTCATGTATTCTTTCATCATTTGTTTATACAGTGGATCTTTTTGTAGGTAGATCAGCTATATTTGGGTATACACTGTGATTAACATTCCAATTAAGTCTGTTGCAGTTAGATGCTCTTAATATGTGCTTTAAAAAATCCAAAAAATCCAAAAAAATCTGTACATCCTCTCTTTGCAAAAGTTCGCTATAAGGGATTATTTTGTAGAAATGTGTAATTTTTTTAAATAACTTGATGCCTGTGCTGAATGTGGTAAATATCAAGTATGTTACAAATGTCCATATATTTCATGTTCTTTCAAAAATTATGTGGGTAATCAACATATAAATGTAAATGAAATTTTATGATTAAATGTCAATCTTGTGGGAAAACATTATTTGTTTGATTGGTCTGTTGGTGTGATTGGTTCATTAAAAACGGGAACATGTACATGCCTTCATTGATGTAATACAAAATACATATATATATATATATATCTATTCCAATGTAACTTTTTACAAAAAATTGTAATTTAACACAAACCTGAAAACAATTAGTGTATGCCATAAATACATATACAGAGTAGTGCACTTAGGATATTTGTAAGAAGGGTGGAAATGTGTATCTACAACGGTGAAGCAACTAAGTTAATGACATTTTAAAATACTTAATAACTTATCATCATGATTGAGAAGTTGACCAATACTGCTCACATCTTTGATTTGAAGGTTTCCCTCAGGACCTGTTTGAAGGGGGCCTGAAATTTATTATCTTTTGTTTTACCTGACTGCTATAAGAAACTTATTATCTATAGCTTCTGAGAGCAATTTTCTTATCACTGTTCAGAAATAGAGCATTGTGACCAAGCTCTTGAAATAGAGCATGTTTTCCTTTGAGACCACAGTGCACAGAAGAAGCCACCAATTTTCTCAATACTATTGAGTAAAGTGGTTCTTATGATATGAGAAGTGAACAAGGAAAATGACACTTGAACAGTATCCATCAAAATTAGTTCCATATACATGTATTGCATGCAATGTACCTCAACATGAAAATAAGTGAAAGTCCCTGAAGGTTATCTTCATTCGCATTGTACACTGAAAACAACGGCCCACCCTGCAAATCTGTTGAATAGCAAACCATGTACATGAATTCTGTTCTTAATACTCCTATGATATAATTTGTCAATTCAGAATGAAGCAACAATGCATTACACGTTGTTATGTTTGGCAATTATTGAGCAGATCTAAGGTTGCTACATAGTAGAGGTATCCCCAAGGTTTGGAGAAGGCCCATTCAAGAACACAACGACTTTGTACCAGCAATAATCAATTACTGCTATACCACACTAGACCACAGTACTTGATTTATTACATCACTACAACAACAAAACTCTACAGAAAGTTTAAAAATCAATTTCAACTCGATGGCAAACTATTCAAAATTCTTGCAGGGTGTGGCTCAAATGCCAGATGTTTTTCTCGTCAGGTATTGTGCTTGTACACTGCATATTTACAATTTATCTTACTACTACGATAACCTTGGCATTTTTTGGCAATCTAATAATCTGAACACCAGGGACTCAAATAATCAATAAATTAAACAGATGTACATGTAATTTCATTCACATGTATTACTTTGAGATAATACACAAAACAAAATGCAGTAAATACAAGAATAACGGGGGTGCTCTAAAAGGCAAAGTTTTAGTACATCTATTCATGAATGAAAAATCGTATTGCTCAGTAAATCTGCTCCCTTGAACATAAACAAATACCATTAAATTCCATTTCATTAATAAAGCACTCAATTATTATCAGATTTGTGATTTGTAATATCTAATGATAAAATAATAAAATACACTATAATGAAAATACAATGGGGCATGCTTCACTTCTAAATTCGAGTGGGACAAATTAAGTCCTCAGCTAGATGGTCATCCTGGGAAGGTACAAACAAAAATTCACAAAATAATAAACTGTCACAATTTATATAATTACAAAAAGGATTTGTATGTAATAGAATATAATGGTTAAATATTTCAAAATGAATGATTTATTTTGCTTGGGTGATATATACATACTTATTCTTTTAAAGAACGAAAAATATGTTCATGTGGTATCCAGTATTCTTTGGGAGTCATAAATGCAGAGAGTAGCCTCTCCACTTAAATTATCTTGTTACATGCCAACTGTCAATTTGTCTGTTATCCTGATGATAGTCTCTTTCTTCTTTAACCCAATCAACTTACTTTAAATCCATTAAAATATAAACAAAGTAATATGAAAACAAAAACATACAAAGACAAACGTAGGATAGCTAGGAAATGAAATATGAGGTCGGTGAGATGTGCTAGTGAGTATTCAAACTGACAATTCTAATTTAATGGATGCCAATATGAAGATTTTAAAGTAGTTCATAACAGGATACCTCAGTAGAGAGTTGTAAATGCATTGAACACTATTACATTGTATTGCACATTCGGATTATTCGAACAAATTGTACTTAGAAAGTTACATCATCATTACTTATAATCTGAAACATCCCAGTGTTCACAGACTTTGTGTTTTGGGTGATTTTTTTTAGTATTATAGATGAAAGCACTTTATAACAGACACGCTGTATGTTATAATACCAGTACATGTATATAAAATATACAGTAAGCATTTTTTTTTCTACAGCTGATTTCAAGGATAACAGCTCTTGTAGTATTGTCTACAACCTACAAGTTAAAAACACCAGTAGGTCCTTATGTACATGTAGGTTTTCCTCATAATGTGGTGTTGAAATGTACAACAATAAGCCACATCAGAGATACTATCTGTGCATGGGTAGATATGGGCCGTTTGCAAAAAAAAACTGTAAAACCCATGGAGGAGATTGCTGGATACACGTTCAAAAAGATATTTACTTATGCATCGGTGAAACACTCTATGCTGCACAGGTGGAAGTATTCTTTTCAAGACGGCAAACAAAAGATATCATGAAGCACGTCCACACTTTGGCATTGATTTTCTAAAATGCACAAGGTGGGACGTTTCCATGTGTAAAAGATCTGTGGATATTTGGGGGACATTAATTTGTATCTCTGAAGTGGCTTATTACGTTTATTGTATCATCAAGCATTCACTCTATGAGTTATACTTTGTCATTACTTGTACACTATATTATGTATAGCCGTAACTATATGCAACATTTTCCAATTAATGCTGATGAATCTGGGATAACTTTGCAGGATACACTAGCATAACTAGGTCACAACTTTCTGGGGGTAGTCCCGTTGCAGTCACATCACTGTAATAGAAGGGGAAAAATAAAGAACATTATAAATAGTATATAGGAGGTTGCAGGAGTCAAACAAAACATTAAGTAATATATAAATACTGGTACATGTACCGTTAGATGTTACAGTCATGACGGACATAAATTTGAACTGTGTTTAATAATAAGAGGAAATGATGAATAATTTTGTTTAAACAATCAATAAAGCAATTCAGTATTATTTACATGAGCACCAAGAGAGTATGTGGGGCCTGGGGACGGAGAAACGTACCGCACACCCCCTAACCAGGATTTCATTTTTGTGAGGGGCAGTCGGATCAGAGCTAATTTTCATTTGATTTTTATTTTTATACCACTTTTTATCGGTTTAATCACAAGTTTGAGTTTGAGCATGATATACAAATGTACATGAAATAGACATTTTTTTGTTGTTTCAACACTGCAATACCGAGGGACGAAGTCTTTTCATATTAAAAAAAAATAAAATGTCCTCCCCCTTGAAACAACAATTTGAGAATTTCATAGTAGGAGTAGTGAAAGTAAAGAAAATCCTGTTGCTTCTCCATAGGTCTTGTAAACACACTATGAAACCTCTGAGCAACAAGTGAGAGGTGTTTCCATTACAAATATAGCATTTCAGAGCTGAAATATTGTATGCTCTAGCATTAAATTATAATTTCCTAAACTGTTTTATTCCCATAAATACTCCTAGGCCACTGCCCATGCTTGTACTTGTAGTACTAAAATGTTGTGGAAATTTCATGCATAAGCCAATGGTAAAGTGTATGGTGGACTAATGAACCAAGTAGGCCTACATGTATTTTGAAATAATTGATAGAGTGAAAAGGAAGTTACAGTAGATTATTTCAAACCGCATAACATTCTGAAATTGAAAACCAGATATTCTTATCCATTTAAAATGATAAAATCAGACATGCAATTCACATCAATTTAACATGGCGAAGAGAAAGTAGACATGCGCAGCACCCGCATGCATATTTTTTCTTCGCTATGTTGAATCAACGATATACAACACGGGATGAAGTAGGTATTAATATAGAACAATGAATCACCCTTTTTCCCCGACAAAAACTTCTTCAAATTATTATTTCAAATGGTTGAATGAACGTATGCCAAGAGGAGTCAAAAAACATTTGTAAGTCAAAATTGTAATTAACTACTTCTTTACATTTTGAAAAGATGTGACCCGCTGTTTGAATCGTTTGCCTATGCAGACGGCGGAGTGTAAGGCTAGTAGCCTTATAATATTACAAAGTAGATCTAACAAGTTTTAGTTGACAGGTTTATAATTAGTCAAGTGATTATTTTCCACTGCTCAAGTTACGTTTCCAACTGGATTTGGAATTGCCTTGAATTTTTAAGTCCTCAGTAATTTTACCTGCAGTGTTGTACTGCTGTGCACTTACATTTTCGCTGCTTTCACAGTAGACCTATTAAACATGAACAATAACTCATTCAAGGCGCATATTATGCAGCGCCAGCCTGATCATTTTAATGGATCGACACCGGTCGACCCTCTCATTCACAATGCACCGCTCACGCAGTCTATGCATGCAATCACACGTATTACCGGTACGTACTTAACCTGTATGTCCGCCCAGACACTGTAGAATCTCACGACTACATGGATTGCGTCGTGATAGTTTATAGCCCAGGAAAATAATTCCTTTTTACAATTTGTACAGAAGACATGTTGAGTACATTCTCTAGAATCCCTGATCTATGTTTGTTACTGGAACAATGTTTAAATGTATCTTCATACGTACCAAACTAGATGAACATGAAGGTTATGTCTGATGTTTCTTGGAATCTTGCAAGGGAAAACACTGCACTGATATTATGGGACGCCAAATCATTGCGCGCTTTAGAATTAGAAATTAGAAACACAAAGACAAAACAAATGTTCCGATATGTGACATAACGGTACGTACGTTGAATTTTTTGTTTGGTTATGAAAAATGAAACAATTATTCATTTGAATATTAGAAGGATTATTATGTTGGTTCGTTTAAGATATTATATTGGTCACTACGATCTTTCTTTTTCTCTAGCGTAAGAACATCAAATAGGTGCATTGCGTGCAGCGCGCGCGTACGATTTTTTTTCTCTCAACCCTTTAAAAATGTCGGCGTGTAGTACAGCAAGGATGGGATTCATGGATGATGACCCGTTGTCTTAACCTTTCCTGACGCCATGTTGAAAGTTGGAGTTATACACACAGTAGACGGTGCAAAAACTTCTATATTTGAACACGCTCTGGGTCAGCTAGGTAGCAACGTAATTATCTCTTTGTCTTATACTGCTCACGAGGAGAAAATTACAGAACGGTACGGTAGCTACTTACTAGCCCTTCACGTAGCATTCTAACTGATTTCGCCACGTGTGGATCGATTTCGCACTTCGCATTCACTTGGCACGCATTATGCTCATGTACTTATTCTGCAACACGTACGGTATCCAATACATCTTTGACATCTCAGACAGCTGGTTCACCAATTTTTAAAGGATCATTACTTTTTTGTATCGCTTGTGGCAGAAATCTTCAGGCAACGAGAGAACTCGGGCAATAAAATGAGCTCCTATGATCACACACCACGTTGATTGCGAATGGAAAGAGTTCTTCATGAATCAATTAGGGCTAGATTAGCCTGTAGGCGGACAACAGGGGCGGACAACCAACTTGGTGACTGGTCTGGTGTAGTTCTTAATCTATCTATATATAGCATGGCTACAACGTCTCGGAATTATGCCAGATAGTGGCATATGTCATTGTGCCAGATACCCCTAATGGTTTTTAGCTACAAAAGTCGTTAGACTTTAATCCAACGCTTTAATTCATTGGAAATTGCTCGCCTTACAGACATCACGACATTCCAGTGCATCAGTTAGTTCTTAACCCACTCGACTCCTTACAAGTTCTTTACATGCGTGTCTACTTATCTCTACATCCAGATCTGCCCAAACCAGGAGGCCGATGCGAGACAAGTGAGAAACCAATCAGAGTAAAGGATTGGTGAAAGATAATATTCAACATAGGCCTACTGTCAGAAGGAACTGACGATGGCAACTGCAACGTATAACTCTCTGAGTCGTGCTGGCTTGACATTCGAGTATCTACACACGAACTCGTGAGTGTCTCTATATCAGGATGTTTAGCCTTTATTTCTTTCTTTTCAACCATTCGGACTCTGATTTTGCAGTTAGAGACCTTATTTATTTGAAGATCTACTCTTTTTTTGCATCAAGCTTTTCAAGACGGATTGAGTGCAGTCGGCTAGATATTGGCCTATGATTTAGAAGTTAAAGAGAAAGTTGAGTTCTGGGGAGAGGTGAACAATATTTTGCGAGCGTTATCATTATTATTATGCAAGTGTGAAAGAACATCAGAGAAAATTTATTCCCTAAAAAGCATGGCTCTTCAGTTGCCTCCATATTCTAAACATGACAAGTGACAGCTTAAATTGAGGCTCGATTTTTATGCCACATGTTTGTGTAGTCCCATAAACATCTTAATGTGTACATTGCTTGTTATTACTTTACCAAGACTGGGCCAAATTTCTTGTCATTTTGATGACTCCAGAACCATGCAATACACACCAATACTATATGCTACATGATCAACCTTTTCTGATTGATTCCACTCCACACCGTTTCTTTCACAATGCAAATCGCATGACCAGAACTCAACTTTATTTTTAAAAGCAATTCCTACTTCAGACTACAACAGCAGATTTTTTAATCAACATTTGCATTTATGTAGATTTAAGCATAAAAATATGCGTGGTAAGGGCTTTGAATTGACAACTTGAATTGATAAAAGAGAGTGAAGTATAGACTAGGGTAATCTGTTTTGATTATTCACGTGGAATGTTTTCTTAGAACTACACATTTGAGAAACAACCACGTACAAAACAGGCCAAGATGGTAGTACATGTGAATATATTATGTACTAAAGTATATTTGGGTATCTACTTAGATACTGCACCAATCATTATTGGCATTATTCATTACTCATTGGAAATGTAACAGGGTAAGTTATCCTTCTCAAATTCCAGTATATGTACTTCTGTTCGGTTCAGGCATTGATCAGTCATCAGTGCAAAAGAGGAGAAAAGATGGCTTGCCGTCACCGACGAAGCTTTCCCAGTGGCATGCCGCCCTCTGATGGTGAGGGCGGTGATTTTCTCAGTGAAAGTTTTTATTTTTATTCTACTAGAGATCTTATAATTACCAGAGCTAAATCGCGATTTGTTCACTTCGCCTACTGTTTTGGGTATGTGATTCATTTGTATAGGCTTAGCATACTGATTTTCATGTATTGGGTTTTGCGGCTTATGTAAACCACCGAATACTGTGATCTGATCCTCTTGTTCCATTTCTGATTTTGATGACTATGGCTTGGATGTAATGTTAACCAACCACCGACATGCTTTTAAAGTATCTTCAATGAAATCTTTCCCTACGAAGTAAAGTTGATACCTGGTAAGCTACTTGACTGTCATTATTGATAGAGAAGTTCTTGTACATGCATGCTTCAAACTGTAAATATATATGAGTCAAATGCGTTCTAGGTCCAGGTAAACGTTTGACAACTACCGGGCGTTAAAAAAACAGGAAACCTAAGTTCAGTCTCCACTTGAAAAAAAATCTATCAATGGACTACAGACCGGCTGTGATATTCCAAACCGAATTTACACCAAGGTGGCATTGCTTTCCACTGTTTCCAGTAATACCTTGGTTTTAGATGGTAAGCTTTGACATTATTATCCATCACCAGATGATTCAGTTAAAGTTAAACCATGGCTTGCAAACTTTATTTGCATGAGTTTGTCAAATTTCCTTTAATTTTTTTCTTCTCGATTATATGGATTTTAGATTCGTTTGAAAATAGTTATCCTGAATAGGCATCATGATACCTTCAAATGCAAAGCCTATACTAATACAGAACCGCTATTTATATCTTTTTGTCATCTACAGTATAACGCTTTTATTGAATATGAAAGTACATATGTATAATTATTTTTTTAAAATATTTGTTTATAGTGCCCTATTTTTTCTTCTGCAGCTCTGCATTTCATAAAAACTTTGATATCATATCTTGGATAATAAATAAGAGAGCGGTCAACTGTATGATAGACATGTACATGTAATCAAACTGGATTTTGGAATACGGAAACTATGAAATCTAGAGCATCCTACAGCCAAATTAAACAAAATATGGAATTTACTGAACAAGTTGCTGGCGCTTCAACCCCAACAGCCCTCTAGTTCTGAGGCCCATGTAGATAGGCCTTGTACTAAAAAATGTGTACCTATTGTACAGCATTTACATGAAGAAATGTTACTTTCGTTATTTGGTATGTCGTTTCCCTAACTTGCCTTGGAAGATATTGGAAACATATACATGTACATGTATAAGAAGGCTTATAAGAAAGTTAAAATGAACAGATACCTTGAATTTGACACTTTAAGGACACTAACGTAAAATTTCAATTAGATTTTCATGGACTCTTTTCTTTTCAGAACAACGCACGAGTTTCTATTCGGAGCGCTCGCTGAACTTCTTGACAATGCCAGGTAAAAGTTGAATGATGACTGTCGTATGTAACTATGTATGTATACCAAACAAATGTCCATGAATGCAGATGATTTGGCCCAAAGAAAAGGAGGGAATTACTTGATGTGTAACGATCGATGTGTATATACGAGCACGTTCAGATATGAAGCGGCAAGTCCTTCCAGCGGTTTATTAGTGATCAGATATTGCGCGGCAATCATGGTAACACGATGCGAGGACGCGTTAGGTTTAATTAAAGGCCATCTGTACTAGTTTGGCTAGGAGGGATTAGACCACCCAGGAAGGTCACTGACAGGTAGCTATCTCATCAACTCGGCTCTCAATTAACATAAGAAAAAGAGGACCATGGGGGACCAATGGTCAGCGATTAGGCATTGTTTTTCTATATAGAGGGCCTTTAATTTACGCTTTTTGGGAATGAATGGATATGCCCCCCCCCCCCCCCCGCTCCCACTCGATATTTCGGCTTTTGCTCAGATGGCATCCAACAAGAGCCCACTTATAGAGCCTTCCTGAGTCTTGCGATAACCCACGAGGTGACACGACATTTGCTCCTGCGACAATTGCTCCGGGCTTTATTTCGTCTAAGATGTAGGGTTAGGGTTAGGGTTTCAATAGGGTTTTATGTTAGGTTTAGGGTTAGGTTTAGGGTAGGGTATAGTGTTGAATCCAGGGTTGAAGTTAGCCATTCGATTAGTGTATGAAATTTACAGCGGAGCAATTGTCGCCGGAGCAAATGTCATGGAACCATCCACGAAGCGCTGGAAAATAAGAAAAGGGTGTTGGTGAACCTTGCCATCGTAACACAATTCTCGCAAGGATAGTGTTTTTGAAATTGCTAAGCTGCGCAGGCTGTTCTCGTGATGTAATGATGCATGGTAACTTTGTAAGAATTTGAATGATAGTACAAAAAAAAAATTGACGCTAGGCGGCACAAAAGATGATTTGTACCACGGAGGCTATTTTATTCACCTTCCAAAATTGCCCATGATTATGTATAAACAGCAGAATTTTCAAATAATACATTTTTATTGCGGGGGTGTTGCTGCATATCTGAACAAGGTTTAAATGTAATTCTTACTCAATTACCCCCTGGGCATTCACTCCCCCGGAAAAATTACCCCCCCCCCCCCCCTCCTGTTAAAGGGGAAGTCCATCCTGATAATAGGCCTTTGGTTTTTATAATACAATCTTCTTTTTTTTCGGGGGGTAATTGTGCTAGGGGGTTAACAGGCAAGTTAATGTTCGAGTTTGGTCAAGTCACAACTATTCATACAATACTCCCTCGGTGCAAACAATATCGAAAATCAAAGACATATATTTCCTGAAATATTCAAAGGCAGTGTATTTCCTGAAATGTTTCTTCGTCTTTCCTGTCATCTTTCTGCTCTAAGGATAGATAAAAGCCGACAATCAAACAATCTCTGCAGTGTATTTCTTTTTATACATGGCCCCAGTTCTTGGCTTGTAGATAATGTCGCAAAAAAAATTCACTTTGTCTCGCGAATTTTCACATGCAGTATTTTTTGTTTTCTTTCTTTCTCTCAGGGATGCAGAGGCAAGTCGTATGGATGTATACACAGGTAAATAATATAACAAACGTCGTGAGGAAAATGGCAGTATTTTGATCCCAGACGCCTTAACAGACATAAACAATAAATTATGAAGTTTTTAAATTATATATACAGTGCGTCCCAGAAAAAAACGAAACCGAGAGTTATCGATGTATGATCATAGGCTATTCAACTAAATCACAATTATAGTTAATAAACGACACACATTTGTAAAGCTTACATCCTCCTCTTTAATGCACGCAAAGAGGACGAAAGACTTGATGCATGGCTGATCGTCAATGAAACTGAGTTGAGTCTTTTGTCAGTTCTATTTGTTGCTACAGCAGACAGCCAGTGAAAATGAATTCGTATTTAATAAAAATGCAAGCATTACTTTAAACAAACAGAACTTTGTAATTCCTCGCTCATTTTTCCTAAATTGAGGTGTCATGAGAGGACAGAAAATGAACTTTCTAGAAATATGATTTTCTCTTTGAAATTCAGATACCGCCTGCCAAATGACTTTTTGGTTTCCTCTCTTCAAATTGTTTTGAAATATGCATCATAAGAGGAGGATCTAAGCTTTACAAATATGTGTCATTTATTAATTATAATTGTGATAAAGTTATGATAAAACATCGACAATTCTCGGTTTCGTTTTCTCTAGGACGCACTGTATAATAGTGAGACCTCTAACATCGTGAATTTGTGACGCACATTGTGCCATTTACTCAATTTTGTGCTCTTAATCTATTTACAGTCAACCTCTTGATTTGACAATGAAAGTTCCGATTTTTCTTCTTAGACTTACGTGTGTTAATCCTCTGTATAAGTAGTTGATTTTTTTAAAAGTTTTTTAGTCGCTAAGTCGATTAGTTTCCCAGAATAGATCAAAATCCAGAGAAAAAGCACTGAACTCGCAAAATTCGAACGAGACCGCAATGTGTAATCAAACCCCCTCAAAGCACGTTTGCAACAAACGCCGATTTTCAGTACACCTCTGTACTCCTGACAAGAATGTATCAAATTCTATACAGTACTCTTTAAAGCGTATCTGCCATAGTTCACAGGAGGGATTAGACTGCCCTGCAAGGTCACTGGACAGGTGGTTATCTCATCAACTCAGCTCTCAGTTAACATAAGAAAAAGAGGATCATGGGGGACCAATGGTCACCGATTAGGCATGGTTTGTTATATAGAGGGCGCAAGTAGCTACAAGTAGTGCAGTGGGCCTTTAAAGAACTCGATACTTTGTTAATTTATACCTAAGGGCAAACATGATTAAAACTATTTCTTTGTGTACGGAGGTCGGAGGATTAAATTTCTTGTGTTTTGTGTATTTTCTCGAACTGCGAGCAAAACTACTTTCTTCTATATAAACTAATTTATAAAACAATTCTTGTTTGGATGATCATCATTTATTGTGTTTTTATATATTTTCCCGAACTCTGAGCTGGACACAATAAATAATGATCCTCCATATAACATGTAATTGTTTTACAAATGTCCACCCTTAGGTCTTTGTGATTTATTTAATTTTAAGGATTGTTATGCCTAAATATATGCGAATCCTATCTTTATAAAACATACCAAAGCGCAAAAGGGGAGGACACGAATATTTAAACTTTTGTCACAAAAAAAAACATTAGAAGGTAGCAAGTAAGAAAATGCGCGAAGGAAAGAGGCATGACATTATAAGGTAATAATATTAATATATATATATATATTAATATTATATATATATTATGATCTGCTCGGATTTCGAGAAAATTAGCAAAAGCGCAATATACAGTGCGTTCCAGAAAAAACGAAACCGAGAATTATCGAGGTTTTATCATAACTTAATCATAATTATAATTGATAAATGACACAAAAGGGAGTTTACAGATAGCACATGGTACTAATGACCACAAATATCCACAGATCTTTTACACATGTAGAAGTTCCACTTTGAGCATTTTAGAATAATAACTACCAAAGTCCTAGATGTGCTTCATGAATACCTTTTGTTTGACCTCTTGAAAAGAATACTTCCACCTGCGTATCATAGAATGTACCGTTGGTGCATAAATGAATAATGTTACATACTTTCATGAGCGCATATCCAGTATTCATCTCTTTGTAACTGCAAGGAAAAGGCGCTATACACTATGAACATGACAGACCACACCTTCATTTCTAAGGAGCGCGATCGCGCCGGCGCTCCTACAGCGCTCCTAAAAAATAATCAGGAGAGTTGTTTACAGCGCTCCTTGGTTTCAATGTTTTCCTTCAGTTAAAAATCCCGTTTAACAGTTAGGGTGCATGTTTGTGGCCGATCGCACCGGCAAAATTGTCAACAAATCGCCATTTTAAGCTTCTAGCAACTTGTCAGTCATTCTCCGAAACAATGCATGTCCTACTAAATATTCAAGAACACTATAACTTCGTCACAAATGTCAACCACTTACATCGCCAAGCCTTCGATTAAGCGGGCGCAGGGCGCAAATTTGCGCTCATAAAACCACCAATTGCGCCCATAATCATCTAAAACTAGACGGCAAGGCGCAAGGTTTGCTGTGAAAATGTGCCCATAAATTATTAGAACAGAAAAAATACACGAATGATTCGTAAAGGGCGCATTTTCACGGAAACACTTGCGCCTTATAAAAGCACTAAATACGTAGAGAGCTCACGCGGCAAACTGTTCGTGATTCGGAATCACAAACAGTTTGCCGCGCAGGAGCTCTCTACTAGCTACGTATTTAGTGCTTTAATAAGGCACATGTGTTTCCGTGAAAATGCGCCCCTTTGTTTACGTACGTACGTTCAGATCATGCGATCGCTAGATGCTGCTGTGGCGCTGGCGCACGCATATATGTACAAATGTATCGAAGGATCAAGACAACAAATCGTCAAATGGAGAAATAAACAAGCATTCAAATAGTCATTAGAGATCTGTCGAGGTTTGTTTGTAGTTCTAGTTTATTATTTCATCTTAAATAGAATTTAGAATTATCTTATTGATAAGTTAAGAACACCTACGATATTCTCGATCGTAGCTGCTCTCTTTTTGCCAGCAGCCGACCTAGCGTTGTTTCGGCAGAAAGCTAGCCGGCCAGCTTCCCACGACGAACCTTTCGAGTCCCGGTAAAATTGCGCGCTGCAAAACTCCGAAACTGTATTGGTCTCGTTGAAAAACTCCAGCCCGCTCGCCTCCCACGACGGACCATTCGTGGTATGGTGAGAGTGTGTGTGTGCGAGGTACGATTTTGGTTTCGGGAACGCACGTTACGCAACTTCTTCTTATTTCTTTGGTTATACAACAATTAAAAAGGCAATTTCTTCAAATTTGCTCCTACTGCTGAGAGTGTGTCAGGAGGTTTGTGTGTCTATTCATTTGCTCATCAACATCAATTTTCAAATTGAGCTCCTCACTCTTTCCAGGAGAGTTATTTGAGGAGCTCAATTTGAGCTCCTTGGCAAAACAAGGAGTGGGATTAATAGAGCTCCACCAAATTCTAGAAATGAAGGTCTGACAGACAATGAAAGCGGACAAAATATACAGTTCCTCAGGTAGACAAAGGAACATCCCTTGACTGCTATTATGTAAGATGTGTAGAACAGGTGAATATGCATGTGACACCTGTTCTACACATTTTTACATAATAGCAGTGAAGGGATGTTCCTTTGTCTACCTAAGGAACTGTATATTTTGTCCGCTTTCATTGTCTGTCATATTCATAGTGATATCAAATATCTTTTGGATTGGATTGGATTGGATTGTGGGTTTTACCATTTTGGTACAAATGACCTTTATCTGCCCATGCGCAGATTGTATCTGTAAACTCCCTTATTTGTAAAGCTTAGATCCTCTTTCATTTGATGCAACTCAAATGATGCATATTTGAAGCGTGCGTGATTAAAAACAATTTGAAGAGAGGGTACCAAAAAGTCATTTGGGGAACGGTATTTGAATTTCAAAGGAAAAATCACATTTCTACAGAAAAGTTCATTTTCTGCCCTTTCATATGACACGTGGATCAGGAAAAATGAGCCAGGGATAACAAATTTTTGTTTGTTATAAGTAATGCTTGCATTTCATAATTTGATTAAACGAACTCTCTTTCACTGGCTGCCTGCCGTAGCAACAAACAGTTAAAAATTAAGACTCAACTCCGTTTCGTTGTCTGCCGATCAGCCATGCATGAATTATTTCGTATTCTTTTTCTTTAATTTCTGGGGCCTGCACATGGGACATGATTACTATGTTGCACTTAAAAATAAAACTTTAGATAAAACTGCGATACTTTGGTGCATGTACAGTACCCTTTTTGTGTAAGTGCACTCATCTGTGGTTACAGCATTATTGGCAATGAATAGGGATGTATGCGTCGGGATGTATGCGTCGGAATGTATGTCTGTCGGCACGACAACTAAAGCATTTCGGTAGGTGTCATTTCATGCGTCCATTGACTTGGTGTGATTCCAATGCAACATATTATGGCTTCAAGTGAGGCTCTTTTGGTCGGAAGTCTGTTGGGACGAGCAAATTGATTGATTGATTGATTGATTGATTCACAGCATTTGTATGGCGCCATTTATCTGTTTTAAAAAAAAACATTCAAATTGCACCCATTGTCCCTCCTTCAAATACGATAGTCGATCTATACTATTAATAAAAGAATGAATAAATAAGTAGGCTATAGGATATGTAACCAGACATGTAACTCGCCAAAAATTCTGTCCTCTCTACCTCAACATATTTTAAGGGAGAGTTCCGAGACCTTTGTTGGTCAGAAATATGAAATCTTACATTTGGCTAATCCGATTGCTTATATTATGTAGTTCGATGTCTGAACAAAACCAGACGACTAATCTTTTTTTGTCTCGTAGAGATCGGTGACACACAAAATGATATATATCCTTGTTCAAAATTACATGTCCTACATAATGTACATAGGCTTATGCCCTGCATAACAACACGTAATATATACCGTATGCATTCTGACTATGAAATATTATTATTCGTAACGGGTGAATGAAATAAT